CATGAATTTGGACATGTCCAGAGTATAATCGCAGCCTTTGCGGTTAGAAAATTGCACTTGATCATGTCGCGATATTATCGCAAATGCGATATATCGTTCAGCCCTAGTACACAGGCCCAGGTAGATTTGGATAGCCTTTTTTTCCTCCATGTAGAGCAGATGACTAACGTTTAGCTAGTCTTGTTAATCTAGCTGAGTGGGTTCAGGCCAATGCAGAACAGCACCAGGGACAGAGAATTTCCTTGGTCAATCCCGCACTGCAATTGGCTTGAAGCTGGCCTGTAAGCTTGTTCTGAATTCCTGATTAAGGCACTCGGGATCCTGTTGATCTTGTATAGTTGTACACATTCCAGAATCCATGTATTAGGCATTGAGTCATTGTTGTAGTCAATCCAGACATCGCCCTGGTTGATTAGTCTGGTGTTATAGTCTTGAGCGAGTGCTCTGTCTACCAGTATCTCGTTTTTGGTTCTGCCCCTCCTTTCTGGACCCTGCTCGTTCATGCCATGTGCCTACACACACACACACACACACACACACACGTATATAAAGATAAATCCAGGGTGTACCTCCGCCTCTCGCCCTATGACTCTATCCAACATAGATTTCACTTGCCCAGCCTTTTCACATATGGCAGGCAAAAATAATAGATTCTGTAAGACTCAGGGACACACAGAGAATCTATACACGCTAATGATGAATATAACAGAGATGTACAACCAGTGGCGAAAGAATGTCAAGGACAATTTATGTCTCCACAGCACGAGATGTGGAGAGATGAAAGATAAAAACAAAGAAAACGAATGGTCTTTTGTGGCAAGTCCACAGAGGAAAAGATGAGGACATACAGTGGGTAGAAGCAAATCCCACAGATTATTTAATAGCCGAGACGTGTGCTGCAAAGCTTTTTATAGCTTAATAGTCTGTCGCTCTGTCCTTCCACCAATCCCTTCTGCATCATCTTTGCTGGGGCTGGGACTCAATGCAATGCAGCTCCAGTATTACTATTTAAGGTATTGTATTCCATAAGAGCCGGATCTCATAGGGCAAAGCATACTGTTAAAAATCCCTTTTGAAATCTTCAGTTTTAGTTTCTGATTGCAAATGATTTTAATTTTCGGTGGTTCTAGGCCTTTCTGTGCTCCACATGATGGTAAGTTTTCTGAAACAGATGCAGAGATGTTGAGCCACACTCTGATGTCTCTATAGGACAATTAGGCTGTAGCAACTTTATTTCATAGCACCACACAACCTTTGATGGCACTTTATCAGTGTTGCAGGGCCACCCTCACCAAGTCTAGTTTGGTCAGAGACATTTATACTAGAGATGGACCGATCCGATATTACGTATCGGTATCGGTCCGATACTGACCTAAATTACTGGATCGGATATCGGAGAAAAATAAAAAATGTAATCCGATCCATTAAATATCA